TCCGATTTTTTCCATTATCTGCAGAGACTTCCAGGATGAGCTAAGATTCACGTGTGCAATGCAAGCGAGACAAGCAGTAGAAATAAAAGATAAACAATAGAAAGAAAAAAAAAAAAGGTCCTTTAAAAGTTATTCAGGGGCTCCAGGGAGGATGAGAAGCAAGAAGGAAAGGAAAAAGCCTGCAAGCCTGTTTCCCATCCTTTCTTTAGATCACCTTTATACAGCATCCGACTGCAGTAACACAGCTAGCAGCGGCCTCTTCTGTTTGACGGCTTTGGTAAATATGAGGTTCAAACAGTGGCTCTAAAAAGTCCTGGCTGTTGAGTCATTATTGTGAAAAATATTCAGATGTTGTGGCCTCCCACTGGGTGTCCTTAGGTGAAGCTCCAGCTGATCTCAGAGATGATAATTCTTTCGTGCCATTTAAATATGAACTCTATCACTTTTTCAAAGCATCTATCATTTTCACCAGAGCAGAGCTTCCAGATGAGATCCTGCCACATAAACATTTACCAGCGGCACAGTGCCCCGAAACACCGCCCGTGCTCTGCAAGCAGCCCAAAGCGGACACAAGGGAAGAGATCAGCTCTGCTGAGAGCCATGATGAGCTGGCCAGGGCCTCTCCTCACATACGCAAGGAGCGATGCTCCCGAAGAGTTACAGAACAAAACATCCTGAAAAAACACCCTCATACCAGGAGACCACTGGGGAAATGTTAAAAAAAGGACTTCTTCCTCTGTAATAAGAACTAGGTCAATGCATCTTACGAAGGAGGAACTGGCTCTGTGCCAGCGGCAACGGCGTAATTTCTAGGTTGATAATAAGCACAAATAGCTGACTGCAGGTGGAAGACTTCTCCATTACAGATGCACATAGTGGTCTGAAAGCTTTTGCGGGAGGAGGGAGAGTTTGCTATGAAGACTTATCTTGGAGACCGCTCAGAGATGGTTTTTACCAGGGCCTGTTGCGACAGGACAAGGGGTAATGGTTTTAAACTAGAAAAGGGCAGATTTTGACTAGATGTAAGGAAGAAATTTTTTATGGCGAGGGTGATGAGACACTGGCACAGGCTGTCCAGAGAGGTGGTAGATGCCCCATCCCTGGAAACATTCAAGGTCAGGTTGGACGGGGCTCTGAGCAACCTGATCTGGTTGAAGACGTCCCTGCTCATTGCAGTGGGGTTGGACTAGATGACCTTTAAAGGTCTCCTCCAACCAAAACATTCTATGATTCTATGACCACTGAAAGTGAGGTGAGGAAAAAATGACCAACTCTTCATCATTATGACACAGGGGTCAGCTACACAAAGTGAAGGTTGGGCCAAATTCCCACTTGAGGACAGTATGAACTGGAGGTTGCACAGCATCCAAGAACGAAGCCTGTTATGAGTTCAGGGAAAAACAGAGGGTGTGGGTACATAGGCAGCACCCACAGGGCCGCTGCCTGTGTCAAGGCAGGGACGAGGACGGCGGTACTTCAGCACAACCGGGGATGTGGTGCTTAAATGGGTAATGCCAGATCTTTCTGCTTCAGAGATGGAAATCCCAGTATAAACTCAAAAGTACCCATTTGCAACAATAGTATAGGCAACTTCAAGCTCAAAACAACATTAAAAACTATTTCCAAATTAAAAAAACACCACCAAACCAGAAATTATACAAGGGAAGAACACAAAAAGCTGAAGACCTGAAATGAGTGGAGCCCAAATCACACAGGCATCCCCGTAAATTTCTCCACTTTAGCACTTCTTGTTTGTAAGCTGTACTTTGCTCATATACCAATAATGCCGTGAGTAGAAATTAGCACCTTTTCATCTCGATGAAAGGCAAGCACGTGGAATTCTCAGAGACACCTTATCAACATGGGCAGGGGGAGAGAAACATACAGGGCTGGAAACATTTAACAGGCACTACAAGTGAAGGGAAACAAAAAAAAAAGAAGGGAACCCAGCTGCCAGCCGGACCAGATATGCCACCAGTCCACGGTGAGCATCAGTGGTGTGGAAGTGGTTCAGAACAGACAGTATTATCTACTATTAACATATTAACATAACTACAAGACCAAATGATTTGAAAATATCATGGTCCTCACCAAGCAAACCTCGACTGAAGGCCAGTCTGACTACTAGTATTTGAAAACTAGGAAGATCAGTAAATCCAGAGATTCCTCTTTCAGGTCTACTAGATCTCCAAAAAAATGGAAACATATTCAGATACCAAAAACACAGCAAGAAACACATTTAGACAAGAACCAAGAGCACTTCAATATGGCCTTTTTTTTTTTTTTTTTTTTTTTTTGAGAAATATGCATCACCAGCACTCACTCAGTCCAGAACTCCAGCTGGTTCACAGTAACAGCAGGTTTTACACCTTTTAGCTACAGATCACGCTAAAAGGTCCAATCCCACTCCTGTAACTGCTCCTGTCTCCCAGACTTTGCAGCACAGCGATTAGGACTGGGTTTGCCAACTACTGGTATCGGTTTAGCAAGTATGATCTCAGGAGTAAACTGGATAGGGCACATCCTGCCCTCTGCCTCCAGCAAGCCCTCTGCATGTTCTGTGTGAAATAAACTGAGAAAACAAAACACTGGGACTTCACTGAAAGCTTTTTCTGAACAGCAGGTCCTATGTCTTTACACTCAGCTCCACAAAGTAAATTAAAGTATATCCTTAGTCCAGCAAAGCACATCTCAGTCAACTATAAAGGCAAAATAAAAGACTTGAATAAGCACGTACATTCTTCTCAAAAGTTTGTGTCATCCCCTCCGTTTGGCCCGGCAGCTGCCTGTTTTGGGTAAGCCGTAGGAACAATCTTGTGAAGAGCTAACGTTGCCATCATGTGGTAACCATCAGAAACAAAACTGTACTTCATAAGTTTTCTGTATCCCCATAACGTTAAAAAAACAAAAGACAAACCAGCACAGATGGCACCAACACGATACAGAGCTGGAGAAGGTTTCAGAGAGGTTTCTTGAGTTGCAAAAAGGAGCACCAGATGCTGCTCACGTGGAACATGCTGCCAGAAAGACATAGCACAGGTAACCAAAGATTGGTAGATTCAATTATTTTTTTCCTCTTTCCTCCAAACTGTAAAGAAAAAAAAAAGGTACTTTCACAGCAGCAGTTGATGGCAGACATAGTGTTATAGAACCAAGTTTTCTTCTAAGGCATGCAACGCTCGCTCTCCCTACTCATGCCTCAATTTTTAACGACCCTCTCCCCCAGCACATCCCTTTCCAAGGCCTTGTGCTAGGGCAGACAAGCGCCCGCAGCAGGCAGCCCTCCCTCTGGGCATGTTTTTGTACCCTCCTAAGGTTCCTCCTGTTCAGGGAAATGACAGCCGCTAGGCAGCCTGGCCGCTTCCAGCACACTCTGTATCACGGACACATTTTGGATACCTCAGTAGCTGCCAAGTGGTACTGATGGGAATGAAAACATTAGATAAATTGCAACAGCCATAGTCAAAGTACGTTTAAAAATGAGCAAATAATGTAGAAAAAACATTTGGGAGCTCATTATGATTGAAGGTACATCTGTTTTCTCCAGGCACTCTCTTCTCAGGCACTTTCACCAATTTTTCCTCAAGTCTTCTGTAACTGAGCTTAAGAGCAGTACACAAAAAACCCCAAAACAACCCTAAGGAATAACTTTCACCTTAAAGGACCTCCAGGTTGATACAACCTTTCAAGTTACGAGTTTCAGTGTAGGTGGACTTATTCATCACTTTAAAATCAAGATGTCCAGATGCTTGAACATGGGTTTTAATCCCAATTTGCATAATTTCAGATTTTTTTTCCCTTAGCTGTTCTATCTATTCAATTTCCAAGGGCATATAAATAGCTTAAGACAGTTTTAAGTGTCTGGGCACACAGATGCCCAGTACTGGCTGAAATGAGCAACACTAGCCATGTAACTTCTTAAAAGCACGCATCTGTAAAAGTACATGCTTATCAGTATTATTTGACAATGCCCCTAAAGGTCTTGCAACCTTCATTTTTTAAAATATATATCCTCCCTCCACTGTAAAAATAACTTGCTTGTCAACTGCAAGAAATCTTGGACTTCCACACTTTCTTCATTCAATTTGAAGAAAATAGGTCCCTTACTAACTACACAGGAGAAAACATAGGAAAAGACAGGTGCTGCCATTCAGACATACGTGAACTTTATAGTACAAAATCTAAATTCAGCACTTCAGTTTCAGATACATCAAGTAATTTTTAGGTCATGTCCCCTTTTGCTTAATGGTTTTGATTAAAAAGTGGGAATTATATGCCACATAGCTTAAGGACCTGTAATTAGGCTCAAGTCTCAACATAAACTCCCAACTTCAAACATTCCAAAAAGCAAGCATGCTTGAACACAAGTCACCCATTTCCACTGTGTTAATGCAATCACTCATTATTGTAACTTGCAAGGCAACTGTGTTGCTAGACATCTTAAGTAGGGAAGTGTTCCAGGTCACTACTTAAAGAATAGTGGAAGTTTTTTTACAAAATGTGGAGTAATTTAAAGCATTTGAACGGCAACTTGTCAGTCTTTCAAACACTGACATATATTCTAACCAGAATAAATACTTTCCATTTATGCCTTAATTTATATAGAAAAAAATTGGTGTAATTGATTACTTCTCATCTAAGAAACCAAGAAAGTAATCTTGTTCATTCCCAACCATTTCAATAGCAGACTGCTTTCAAATGTCAGGATCCGAACTACTTCAAATACCTCGGTATGCAAATACTTCAACTGGCGTTGGGTACAGAGTACTGAGCAGTCTGCATGGTCAGCTTCAGAGAACGTGACAAAAAAACCCCACATTTCTGCGTGTTCCAGGGAAACACTAGAACCCAACATTTGGACATTAATAAATGAGACAGACAACAATCCTTGGTCAGAAGCAAAAGTGAACTTATGATTACAATTTAAAATCAGATGTTAAACCATTTGTTTTAAAGAATCAGAACAAGGACACAAAGTCATACATAACTAGAAGTTCATTTTATTTCTGCGCCTTCTGTGCCTTCTGCACCTTCTCTGACTTCTGCACCTTCTCTGGCTTCTCTGACTTCTCTGGCTTCTTGCCTTTTTTAGAAGACAACTTCTGGAGCTTCTTCATTTCATGTTTGATGATCCTGTTTCTCTGTAAAAAAGGACAATGTTTACTATTCATCAGAATGAAAACAGCGACAGCTCATAAATACTATGCCTTCATTTCAATTCTAAGCTTTCAGATTCTGCCCTTTCTTATCATCACCCTTTGCTAATCAATTATATTTTTATTATATAGACAAAAGATCTACCATGTATTACATTTAAAATATAACATTTCACCTAAAACTGTTCTGGCCTACCAAGTGGACAACATCATCCTGGCTGGTAATTTGGGCACCCCAGTATTTCATTTGTAATGACTTTCGCTATAGAAATAAATCCTAACAGCAACCCATCACGAATACCTGATTTCATCAGCAGGTAATGGCTTCCTCAGCTATAACACAGAGGACTGACACACAGATCATGCGGGTTCAAGTTTGATCAACTGCTGAAGAGAATGTGGTGGCCAATGAAGCATGAAAAATTCAAGTCATTCACATACTTTGTGTCACTCCATAACCCAAGCCAGACATAAAGGCTGCTAACATCTGTATGTGACTCTAAAGTGAAAGTTACAAGCATTAACCCCATTAAAGAAGCAACACGTAAACACTTACCATTTTCTTCGCTTTCATAACCTTGTAGCGATCAAAGTCAGTCATTTTTGCTTTCTGTTTGGAAATAATCAATCATGAAGTTACAATAAATACATATGCAAGAAGTCAAACTCAAGTGTTTCAAAGCATTCCACAAGTAACTCTGACCATCTCCAAATTGGGTTTAACTGCACATCTGGAACTAGCTCACAATTTAGGGCCTTTGCTGGGAAGTGATGGTGCAGGAAAAAAGTTGGTTATAAAAACAACTGAACAAAACCACATTTGCTGTTAAAATACAAGAAGTTGAAGCTGATAGGTAGCAACTTTTAAAAATCTATGCCTTGTCTATCTTGAATCTTAGCCTGCAATTGAAAACACATAGTTTATTAGATTGCACCTAATTTTAATACGCAAAAGCAGTACAATGTGTATTACTCATCGAGTGAAAAACGGTACCTTTTCTCGGGCTTCAATCTTCTTTGCCCATCTTGTCGCTGCCCATTTTTCATTTATATTTTCCTTCTCCCAGGCAAGTCGCACACACTTCTGACGAGCACTGCGTTAGGACAGTCACAAAATTATATTCACAGTCTTTATAAAAGAAGGTTCTCTCTGATGCTGGCCCATCAAATTTCATACAAGGGAGGATCACCCTTCTAAATTACTTCAGAAACTTTAAGTCAATGCCATATACATCTGTGTGGCCTAATTAATATTTTTTTTGTGTAAATGCTTTGCTAGGACTGAACAGATGAGCAACTCCAAGAGGCATACTCACACACTATTCCTAGCACTGCTTCGGAATCAGAAAGGCAGCAATTTTTTGTTTCTAAATTACAGAAACTCATATAGTAACTAAGCTAAACAGAATGAGTTCAGCCTCCTGCAATTCCAGCACAGTTCTGTAGGCAGGGAATGCATTTAAAGTCTGAAGGTGACCTAAGCAGTAGTAAAAGCAAAGCTGCACAGTGTTTACTGCGACTGCTTTTCCCCATCACCACCCAGTCCGTAACTATCTGCAAGTTGCCTAGGCCAGTGGGTTATTTCCTTTGCTCCTGCACAGTGGTTATCAGCCAATATTGGTAATGAAAACTTAAACGTATTCAACGATGATAACACAGTCTGCCAAATTTTTACTGCGCACACATGTTAATCCATTGACTTAACATTGTATGAACTTTCTATATTTAGCAAGCATCAGATCAGATAATTCAGTCATCAAGTGACAGCATGGTTTTTTTTTTACACAGGTCAAAAAAATGCCAACAACTCACCTGTGTGGGAACTTGAGAACAAAGTCAGTCAGCTGCATGCACTTGAAGGGCATAGCCTGCCTTCTGACACCACTGCAGGGGCCATCAACTAGTGCCTGAAAAAGGAAACAAACGCAGAGCTTTTGTAGCAGTTTTCCCATCATATCAGACTTAGACAGCAGCTTCCTAATAACGTATGAACAATGTCTTGACAACAATGGTCCAAAATTGAAGTAACAATCTCGGGTTTTGTCTGCATAACATTTAAGTCTTGCACATACAACCCAAGCTTTACAAAAAGAATTTTAAAGGCCCATCTTTGTCTTTGGAAAAAAAAACAAACTGAACTTTAAAAAAAGCAAACAGAACTAAGATGACATACTTCATCTTGCCTTTTTTCCCCAGCTTTTTCAGCAACATTAAACAAAAAGAGTCCCCTAGCCCAAACATTTGCTTTAAACATACATTAATGCCATTCCATTCTTAAGTTTTAGACTCCAACTGACATCACTTGTCCACTTCTAGGAAACACAGCAGAGAGGGGAATATATCACTTGCCAGTGAAAAAAGCTTGCTACTTAAAGTTTCAAATACAACAACAGCTGTTAAATCCCATCTTTTGTCAATTGCTTATTTCTTTGAAAAATCTATTAACACAAAATTTCCTTTAAAATCAATACACTCTGTCTTAAGTATACAAACTTCTATTAATGCAGAAAGGAGAAAATAAAGGTACAGAACTCATAGCTTACCCTGTTTTGGTCAATAACATCCACAATGGCCACCAGCTTGCCTGCATGTGGCCCGAAGGAAATGAAAGCAACTCTGCCAATCTCGACAAAGCGTTTGAACACCTGGGAGCAGCAAGAATTGACAGGAGTTAGGCGAGAATATATCGAAGGCCATTGATTCAAGGCTCTCACAGCCTTTAAAACATCTTCCCAAGCATTCGAACTGCACAAAACCCCTTCGCTTGAGCAAAGGGCCCGCGGTAACGCCCTCAACTACTGTTTGCCGGCCCTGGCCCTGCGTGGAGGCCGCAGGCATGCGGACCAAGAGGCGCTGGGGAGAAGCCCTGAGCTCCACGAGTAAAGAGCCAGGGGCGGACGCGCAGGCCCCGACCGTGCCAGGCACTGTCCCC